CTACTTTCAGCAATGGTCCGAGTTTTCCCTATTCTTCAAAGGCTCTCTGTTGGTGGGACTAGGTCTTCTCGTATGGCTTCTTTCAATACGCGCCCGTGAGGAACTGCAAAAGTGGAGGGAGTTGGGTTACCGAAAGTGAGTCACTAATATCGCTGGTCCCACAGAAGCTTACATTTCCCCAGAGCTATGCGTAGAAAGTACGGCATTCCCGACGCAGACTGCAGACCTTTCGCGGTTGCGTATGCTGCCGCCACCCGGGCTCGCGCTGAACGCGAGGCTCAAGAGAGGTCAAAGCATCAACAAGATACTGACCAACCTCCGGCACCGGGTCCACGTAACGCGTTGCGGGATACCCAGGAGCTCCGGAGACGATTTGCGGGTGCCGGTGAGTGACACGATGCTCTACCCGTTGTATCTGATCTAATCCACCACGCTTCATTACAGCTGCTGTGGCAGTGCCAGATCGTCGGTCACCTGTTAAACGTGCTCCTTCTGGCTACGATCAGAAGCGTGCTGATATCGACCCGCTCAACTTCGCCGATCGATACAATTCCAGCCCTCGTGTAGATATAGTCGAGCCCGTGCAATATTCACCTCCTCGGACTAAAGCATCACTCGGACGCTCCAGCAGAAAGAATCTGTTTTTGAATGGAAATTTGCCTTTGGAAGACACCAAGAAGCGGTCATGGGACGAGGCGAGCGATCCAGAGCCAGAGCCCACCAAAAAATCTCGCGTAGACGGCGGTGAGCTTACTGATGGCGATGAAAACGCTGGGCGGAATAACCAGTCCAGCGGACAAGCCCGACCTTCACGGGGCTCAAAGCGTGAATTCGTTTCGGAAGACGACGAAGACGCATACATGCGCGTGAATAGTCGCGATAAGCGACCACGGAATGTATCACGCGAAATATCGCCGGATATGGATGAGCCGATGGACGAAGATCTTGATGATGAAGGCGAGCTTCACACTATTCCACGGGGCAAAAAGCGTGACCGTGCGGAGGCTGGTTCAACGTTTGGTGGCGACGATGAAGACGACGCAGCGGAGAGCGAGAAGGCTAGCCGTCGTCGGAAACGTCGGACGGTCCCGAAACGGAAATCGGAGGCACACTCTCGAAGCAAGAAGCGGGACCGCGAGGCTGGGTCACCTGATAGCGACGGTGAAGGCGGCGGTGGCTCTGATGGTTCTCCTAGGAAGGGTCGGTCGTCGAGAAAGAAGAGGGACAAGAAAGCAATGTCAGAGGAGTCGCATAGCGATGTGTCGATGGACGGTTCCCATGTGTCGAAGGATCCGCTTTGTAAAGGAAGGAAAATCGGCGAAGAGTGGGAAGCTGGCGGTGTGCAATACAAGGTTGGGAGCAATGGGGAACACTTACGTCTTACTCTGGTCAAGAAAGCACGAAATAAATACCCCATGGTAAGTTTTTCGTGTTGAGGCTGTTGTCTATACTGACTTGCCCCATAGCCCAAAGATTCCCAGCACCCCGACCGCTCTGCCAATATGGAAATATACGTCGAGACTTGGATGACAGAGGAACAGTACAAGGCGGCTGAGGAAAGACAGGAACTCGTATGGCAAGATACCCCTAGGCCCTCTGCTGAACCTCAAACGCCCAGCGATGTCCCAGACTCTCCGACAAAGACAGGAAAGACACTCCTTTGGGATCTGACAAAGGACAGCCCCGCCCCAAACCGCCGTTTTCGACAATCGATCGCCACCAGTGCTGGCCTGCGCATCAATCCTTTCCAGCAGTCGCAAGCTGCCCCTTCAGGACGTCGTGTTGCCTCCTCCAATATCGGGTCCCCTGCCGTTTTCGCCAACACCGCCGGAAGTCCAACACGGCGCGTGTTCTCCAAATGGGAGAAGCAAGATCTCGAAGCCGAGGCAATGGCCAGAATGCGCGCTAAGATGCAGGAACAGAAGAAGGCTGGTAGTCCCCTTGGCAAGACAAGTGAGCTGGCTGCCAGCGCAACTGCACCGGAATTAGGGGCGAAACCCCCTACCGTGCCGATCATCACGCTTACCCCACCGTCCGCTCCCAGCTCTAGTCTCAGCTTCCAGAAGCAGGAATCGAAGCCCACACAACCCTCGGAGACCAAAGCAACACCGGCCTCCTTCTCTTTCGGACCTGCTCCTATCACTGCAGACACGTCCAAAGTATCTGCGCAAACCAAAGAAGCTGAAACAATTACCTCCGTCCCGGCATTCTCTCTCCCACCTGCGGTGAACAAAACATCGACTTCGTTTAGCCTTGGCACTAGTCAGCCTGCAAGCGCACCATCCCAACCCGCGGTGTCTTCCGCACCAACGTCGTTTTCCTTTGCTCAACCACCTAAGCAACCTAATACCGCATCAGCTCCAGCCTCATCTGCTCCCGCTGTTCCAAATTTCTTCGCCATAAAACCCTCCACTGGCGCTTCTACTGCATCATTTGGTGGCCCCAATACAGAGCAGAAGCAGCAATCGAATGCCCAATTCAGCTCGACTACCAACACAATTAGTGTGCCCACTCAAAGCACAGAATCTGTCAAACCACCAGCTTTCAGCTTCGCCAAGCCGAGTGTTCCGGCATCTGGTATCTCTGCTGCTCAGCAGCCGAGTAAGATGGCTTCGTTTAACAACCCTTCTTCTACTTCGGGCCCTTCGCCGTCTGCCCCCGCTGCTGAAACCACTACTGCACCCCCGAAGTTTGATTTTGGTATTAAACCTAAACCAGCGAGCTCGGCACCCAAATCAACTGCATCGACGTCGGCCGAGACCACGAAATCCGTATCTCCAGCCCCCACCGAAGGACAGTCGTCAGGGTCCATTGCCCCGCCGAAATTCTCCTTTGGCCAGCCGTCTACTGGGTCTGCTTTCGGGTCCTCTGGTGCCTCATCAGCTGGTCTTCCTCCCAAACCAGCTGACGAAGCACCGAAATTTTCCTTCGGCCAACCGCCAGCCGCGTCCCCATTCACGCCATCGAGCAATCCAGGTGCTCCACCGTCCGCGCCCAAACCCCTGTTTGGATTTGGGAGTGCACCGGGCGGATCCGCTTTCGGGGCAACGTCTGGGGGAGATGCACTTAAAAAAGCGGCTACCGGCGAAAATGCGCCTAAACCTGCGACCTCAGCTCCCACATTCGGGGGTAGCGGGTTTGGTGCATCCGGCAGCATCTTCGGCAAGTCAAGTGCACCAGCGGGAGGAGATACATCATCCACGTCGACAATTAACCCTGGCCCTTCTGGGGTTTTTGGCGCCAGCACAGCGTCAAGTAATCCCTTTTCAACGACGCCGGCGGGATCTCCAGCACAGACGAATTCATTCTCGTTCGGTGGTGTTTCCAAACCTTTAGAGGGTCCGAAACCCCCCGCCGTTGGTGACAGCAGTGGGACCACGAAGCCCCTTTTCTCGTTTGGAAAGAAGGCCGAAACATCTGCATTTAGTGGATTTGGGGCTTCACCAGCACCGGCAGGCTCGAGTGAAGCCAAGCCTGCCAGCTCTCCTTTTTCTTTCGGCGCCTCCTCGTCATCACCATTCGGCCAACCTTCCACTATTCCAAACCCCACTGCTAACTCATCGACTCAGCCCCAGTCTCCGTTTGGAAAGCCTTCGCAACCTACACCAAGCACATTCGGTTTCACAGGGAGTGGCTTTTCATTCGGGCAGGCTGCAAGCCAAAATCAAAAGCAGCAACAGTGATTGGTCTCGTGCTTGGACTTTCCCAGACTCCAACCAGTCGGCAGGTGTGTAGAGAGCCTCATCCTAGAAATCTGTACAAGTCCTTCATCGTGTAGTGCAGCCACAAACCAAACACAACCACATTTTAGTTATTCCGAACTTATACCGAAACTTGTTGGGCTCTAACACACCAAGCCGACTGGCACAAAACACGGTGGCGCAAAATTTGCTTCTGTTTGGCCCACCGAAGAAGCTCACCGAGCAACCAAGAAAACCCGGCCACACCGCCGTCACGGTCAGTGGTGTGACAAAACTATATACATTGCCAACCAAAGGGCACCCAAGATTAGGATTTCTGACACTGACTCCGTTTGTTCGCTTCCAGGGTCCCGATTTCGACTGTTTGACCATCTTTGTAGTGAGTACATATTTTATTAAAAGCCTTCCTATAGTTAGCCTGGGTTTGGGAAGAACAAGAAAAATCTCGGGTGAAGAGAATATTTTATGAAGTTATTGGATGTCGGCATGACAAGCCAAGGTTTTGAGCTGGCACTGAGTCCAATATTGGTACTCCCAAGAGCGTTGCAAGTACAGCCGAGTTTTGCTATTCATATATGTCTGTTGCCATCAGTTCTTGTTGTGCTTATGGCGTAATGGTTATCACTACAGTATTTTTGGTTCAAAGCCCGAGGGTTCGATTCCCGGTCCCCACACTTCTTTTTTTTGGTGGGTGCCACAGCCTCCCAAGAGTCTTGTCTGGTATCGTATAGTATTCAACTCATTTTCGGGGCCTCCTGCCTCAACTTTCCGGGTTAGTGTCGAAACCTTTATATTTGGGTGCTCTTTGGTTGGCAATGTATATAGTTTTGTCACACCACTGACCGTGACGGCGGTGTGGCCGGGTTTTCTTGGTTGCTCGGTGAGTTTCTTCGGTGGGCCAAACAGAAGCAAATTTTGCGCCACCGTGTTTTGTGCCAGTCGGCTTGGTGTGTTAGAGCCCAACAAGTTTCGGTATAAGTTCGGAATAACTAAAATGTGGTTGTGTTTGGTTTGTGGCTGCACTACACGATGAAGGACTTGTACAGATTTCTAGGATGAGGCTCTCTACACACCTGCCGACTGGTTGGAGTCTGGGACTTTCCCGTGCAAGATCTTGTAAAGTAGGCATGCATTTTTCGCTCACATAGTACATTAGATTTACAAAGTCAATCATGTTGTCTCGGGCTCTACTTCTCCGAGTTCACGGCTTCCTGATCCTGGCCTCTTGTATAGTTACACTCAGCAGGTGCTCACTCGGCGGTGGCATTCTATAATGTTTGGAAATCAAGTAGTGATATCGGCCGCCTGGCGAAATGGCATCGCGTCTGACTACGATACAGCTAATGCTTCCGTAATCAGGAGATTGCAGGTTCGACCCCTGCGGTGGTCAGTTCTTTTTTTTTGTCTTTTACCCTGTCATGAACGCGCTCACAAGACATAGCAGCAATCTCCCTCCAACAGCAAGAGGTGCTATGCGTTGTCTCAGGACGCACACAGAGACAATCGGTTGGACACGCATTAATAGCTGGCAAAGCCCTCCGAAAGTGCGGTGACGTTCACCAAGCCCCAGCGCACTGTCTGATAACAAGACCATTTGCACAGTGAACGCGGTCCCCGACCAGGGCTGCAGAAAATTGAGTCAGACCCACCTACCGGATAGGCCAAATTGTCTGGGCTGAGTGCATCCGGGCATGGAGCGTACAACCATGTAACCGAGTTGATTTTCGTGTGAAAGTCGAAGCAACGACATTGACTGCACACGGAGACTTTTGGGCTGGAGCGATCAATGCCTAGCGACGACCCGAGGATCGTGCGAGGATATGTCCGGGGTCAGGGCTTTCAGGGACCGGAAGAAACCTCATCGCTGTAGCGTCACGGCCCAGACAGTTAACAACTCGCCGAGGGCAGGACATGAGAAATGATCAGCACTAAAAACACGGTTCAAGACCGGTTTAACTACACCAGAAATACGCTACACGGAAACGCCAGGTTCCAGCTCTCCAAGTAACATTGTCCCGTCTTTGCTTCCCGTAAGAACTGACAAGGCGAGTTAGGATCAAGTCAAACATGTAACGAACACACAAAAACGCACTGATCGGTTCTTTGGGATGGAAATCTACCGACGTAACAGTTCCTTTGTGGCCGGGCAGCTGAACATTGCAAACGCAATTAACAACGGGACCATGAAGGTGGTGAATACATCACGCACCTTATATAATACCCTCCCGCTCTCAACATCCCAAATACACACCATCCTATCGGCCCCACCCACTGCAACGCGTCCTCCGCCGTCATCCTTGCTCCACGCGCCTTTGAGCAGGGTATTCTCAAAACCGGCGGGGGCCCCTTGAAGGACGCGGTGTATCCGTGAGGGGGACGGAGAGAAAGGTCGGACATCGTGAATAATGGTCTGAGAAGAGAACGAAGGCGACAGCAAATACGATCCGTTCGGGGACAGCGAGAGTGAGGTCGGTGTGTCAGAGTGCCCGCTTAAAGTATAAACTTGCTCGCTTTTGCGCAGGTCATAAACCTGCAGCACGTAATTTAGCCTTGGCCACAATTCCCAGACGTGCCAGAAAATACACCTACGTGAATCTCATTATCCAACGCACCAACGTAGACGTTTTGGCCATCCATGCTCCAGCACACGGACGTAACAGGACACCCCACATCAAACACCGCAACACTTTGCTTGTTTCCCTCGTCACCGCCTTCCCATATCCTTACAGTTCCGTCGTCTGAGCCCGTGGCGACCAGCTCGACGCCTGCGCCACCTGCAAGCGTCCGGTCTAATGCGTTGATGATGCCGCGATGTGCACGAATTTTCCGTGTGCGCTGTCCGGTTGTGACATCTGTCATGCTCAGCAGCTGGTCTGCGGACACTGTGTAGAGTGTGGGGGAGATGAGGGACCACTGGAGGTCGAGGATCGGGGCTTTGTGGAGGTTCGAAAGGAGACCATAGTTGGTATTGGGAGGATAGGTTCTCCATAAAGCTTAAAAGTGATCTGTAAGAACCGTGTATGAGTGGCAAAGTAATGATAGGCACTTACAGACGCTTCTGTCGGCAGAACATGCAGCAATATTCTGGCCTGTAGGGTCGAACCTACAGCTGAATATTTCGCCCTTTGTACAGCATATTAGCCTCCCCGGACTTGTAGAGTAATTTGACACTATGCTCACAGAGTGCGACCCGCTCAAGCTGATAATAGGAGCCTCGAGATTACTTGTTCGTTTAATGGTTCGAATGAGGCCTTTTTGGCGGTCGTCCCCAGAAGAGATGGCGATTTGCATGGTCGGCGGGGAGTTCGAGCGCGCCCTCTTTATGAGGGTACCCCCCGATGGCGGCTCAGCACCTCTTTTCGACATGGCTGGCTAATTGCTGTTGGAATTCGGCGGGGTGGACGGGACAAGATACGGTGACGCTGAAAACGGCAAACAAGCAAGATGAAAATGGCCACGTGCCATGTCCCAGGTCGCGACAACGATTCCAAACCAGTCATATATAACTTGTGGTATGTACACATTGCAGAATTTACACTGGGATAGTATACAATTAAGAAGCACTTATACTGGAGGGGGGCGACAGCAGCTACTCGGCCCAGCTCTAGTCCCTGTGAGAACGGACACTCGCAGCCCACTTCACGGCATCGCGCCTGCCCTTTGTCACGTCCACGCCGAACCAGATGACTATCGAAGCACCAGTGCAAAGCGCAAAGAGGAAGGGAAAGCCTTGCCAGTTGTTGCCCGTCTTGTCTATGATGGCTTGGATAACGTTGGGTCCAATCATCGAGGAAGCGCGGTTGGAGAGACCAAAGAGACCGAAAAACTTTGGTGATGGCTGAGTGTACGTTGAAAATTGGTGAAAGAGATGCGTACCATATTGTCGAAACCGGGAGGGCTGAGTTCAGCCATCATAGTTTGGGAGAATGCGTAATAAGGAGCTTGGAACAAGCCGAACACAACATTGTATGCCCTTCGGAGGGGGAGTAAGTGAGCGAATTCGGAGGCGGTGATAACGGCGGCTACTAACCAGAACTCCCATACATTATGGAACCTGCAGAAATCACTCACGTCACTACACAAAACACGTTCCTCTGCGGCGTACGTACCCCAGCTTGTCAGTCCAGATTCCTATCATCCCCCAGAGGGGTATCATTATGGTCACGACATTGGTGACAACAAACTATACAGAAGTAGAGCATCAGTACCACAGCAAGCCCATTATATGTACATACGCACCATCTTCTTGGTGCTAATCTTCCAATACTTCTGTATGTACCAAAATCCGAGAGTACTGATCGTCGAGGTAATAGCTTGCGACAAGCCGAGATATGTATTTTGCAAGAATGAGAAACTGAACTTGTCGTTCTGGCAAATGGACACAAGTGTGCCAGTTGTGTTCAGGCCCTGTAGACGAATACATCCCGATACGTGAGACATAATACGCGAGGGAAACGGAGCATGATACTTACATCGGCAAGGAGGAAAAATCCGATAAGATACACGAATGTATAGGGGAGATGCTTATAAGTTTTCATAGCAGCCCAGATCTACAATTCAGGTGAGTCAAGTAGGGGGCTGATATTGTAAAATAGCCCACCTGCTTCCATCCGATGGTTATATATCGCTCTCCTTTCGGAAGAGGAGGGCCTGGACGAGGTTCTTGGAAGATGACTTGATATGACTGTCAGCAACGTGGTGTGAGGTGTAAAGCCTTACTCACACCACCATATGCCAAGAATAACCCAGTAAGAGTTGCATCTGTTGATAGGAAGTTAGAAAACGAGTCGAATACCTCACGGCCCGCTCTTACAATACGAGAACGTAGTTATCGACCTTGGGGTTGTTCATGAGGGGTAGGAGCAGTGACAGGTTCAGGACGTATGTAAAGACATAACCGACGTTGCTGTGCATCTAACGAGGCCTGGTCATGGACTCCAGCGAACAATATTGGATGGGACGTACAGTGCTTATGTTGCTGATCCTGTTCTTTTCCAGAGATTCCTCGATTTCGTACTCTTCGGGAGGAATTTCGCCCTTCTCGTACTTCTCTCGGAGTTGGCGAGAGTGCGGAGTGTTCCTCGCAAGACGAGGGAAGGCGGCGGCGTAAAACACTAGAGTTGCACCATACGAGACGAACCCGACAATGTAAAGGCCCATAGCAAGCTGCCAACGACTCGGTGCTGTTGAGATACATAAATGTAGCTCTGGTAGCAACGAAGATAACAAAGGGTTGAACGCGCACATGTGAGCGCCATACAGGCATATTGGGCAGCCCAGCAGATGACGGTGACGGCGAAAAGCAGCCAGCGGCCAAAAGTCCCGTAGTCGGCAGCGGACCCGACGGTGGTGAAGATGGCAGTCATGACCGCGAAGCTGACACCATTCGCGACAAGAACGACGCTGGCGACGGACTTTGTGCCGCCAGCCCAAGGAAGCACACACTGACCAGATGCGGTATCGGCGAGGCACGAGGAACCTGGACCTACGACTGGATCGTAGCCTGCCGCTGTCGCAAGGGCTTGGAACAGAGTTTGTGTATAACCGAGAGGACCGACACCCTACACAAAGGTCACGAATGAGATAAAGAGACGCAAGCCATGGCAAAGTCAATTCACATTATCACCATTGTAGTATACTGTTACGCAGGTCAGCATTCAGTGTCACGGACAGTAAGCTGCAACGCACAGTAATAGCTCCATAGCTCCTTCCTGGTTACGATCGGCTCGTCCCTGTCCAATGAAGATATGAAAACGTGACCCTTGCCTCCCTGTGAGACGTCGTCCGACTTTGAGTCCTTCACGTCGATGATCCCGACGTCATGATCTGACAGCGGACTCTCTGGTAGAGCAGACTCGAACCCTGACATGTAGACTCGATTGAAGAGGTCGACGACAGCAACAACTCACGATAGCTCTCAATTTGAGCTGAAGCAAGCAGTGGGAGATGGCTGTCGGGCCGTAAGCCTTTAAACCTGGACCGGTCAGATGTACAAAATAAAATTGACTTTTTGTGGATCCGAGCACCTTGTGGGCCTTATCAGAAGATACAAGTCACAGGGACAGAGCCATCTTTGATTGACGGCTAGTTATCACCTTCAGCGGTATTCACATCCCTACGGTTAAACCGCTTCCCAGTAGAGAGCACTTGGGCTGCTTCGTTTGGACGATAAGAAAGGGCCCGCTGCAGCGCAGATGGAGTGGCGTTGAGTACACGCACCGTGGTGTTCAAACTATAATGGACGGACTGACTTTGTGCTATATCCGCCAGCTGGTATCGCATCAGAAAATATATCATACCGCTTTATTGCGCTGATAATTTCGACAGTGGAGAGCCTCTAGCTATGACCTTGGCCAGGGTGTCCTATCCTCTCAGACTCATGGGACGACG